GAGGGGGCACCTGGAAAGAAACAAGTGAATAATTGAAAACCAGCATGGTTCGGGGAAGGAAAATCCTTGTCCAAACCTACTAGGTTTTATGAAAAGGGGACAGAAGTGAAAGGGAGAGGGGGGGGGTGGATGACTGCGTATTTTTGGACTGCAAGAAGGCCTTCGACACGTTCCTCACAAGAGGTTACGCAAAAGCTAGAGGCAAGGCACCAAAAAACAGAAAGGGCACTGCAATGGATCAGAGAATATCTGACAGGGAGGCAACAAGGTCTGGTACGCGACGAGGTGTCAGATGGGCGCCCCGTGAAAGCGGGTTCCCAGGGGGGAGTCCCAGGACCTTGCTGTTCTTGGTTTTGTGAACGACATGGGGAAGGATGATCAGAAGTGTCCTTGTTTTCGATGATGTGAATTTAAAGAGAAGAATCAAATTTGGACGAGGATCAGGCAGGACTACAAAAAGGGCCTGGACAGGCTACAAGCCTGTCCAGAAATGGTCTTGAATTTTAACCCCGCCAAAAGAAAGATGAAAAATTGGGGAAGGGCAAAAAAGACCCAGACAAATTTTATTTGTGGCCAAAGACTGCAAACCTCATCAAGGAAAAAAATCTGGGGGTGGGAAAAAACCCAGCATATTCCCGAGGCGCACATCAATCAGAAAAGCTGAGCATACGGGGCCTGGCAAACCCACGGATAGCGTTCCGATACCTCTAAGGATTCGTTTAAGATCTGTTTTTCCTTTAGTCAGGCCCCTACTTTGGGGGGGGGTATGCGCACCAGTTTGGGAAACCCCACCTAGTCAAGCACGTCAAGAAAAAAGAGAAAGTGCAAAAGGGTTTTCAACCCCAAGACTAGTCCCAGAGCTACGGGGGTTTCCTATGAAAAAGGGTTTTAGGGGAAATCGGCCTGACGCATGGAGGACAGGAAAGGGGCAGGGGAGCATGATAAAGAAATAAAATTCTGGCGGATAGCCCGGGGGACAAAGACGGGATGTTCCCGAGATGGGCACAGACACAGAGGTCACAATTGGAAGTCGAAAATCAGATAATCAAAGGGGTGTTGGAAGTATTTTTCAGTCATAGAGTAGTCACGCCCTGGAATAGCCCAGAAAGTGAGTAGTGGAGGGGAGGGGGCCATAATAGTTTTAAGGGGGTATGGGTAGAGCTCATGGGGGAGGGAAAAGAGAGGAATAGTAGCAAACAGCGAAGAGGCGGGGCCCCGGGGGCTTGCTCGACCCCTTTCAACCCCAAATAGGTGATACAAATAGGTGAGTACACACACTCACACACACACACCCCAACACACACACAACACACCCACACCACACACAAACACTCACCACCACAACACACAACACAAACCAAAATAACACCACACACACCAAAACACCACACACACACACACCACACACACACACAGGAACAAGCACTTGTAAGCTGTAGACAATGCAAACACACACATACACGGATTTTAAAAACCGCCCGGAACTGACATTGAAACCAGCTCCTCCCCCCTCTTCCCATCTAGGTAGAGACCTATCTTACCTTTTCACTCTTTACCCATATCTTCTCTTACCTATCACTCTCTACCTATCTCTTCTCTTCCCTTCCCATCCCCCTCTAAAAACTCTTTCCTCTAAAAACCTTCCCCCCCCCAAATCCCCCCCTCTAAAAATCTCTCCCCTCCCCTTTTCTTTTCCCCCCCCCCTTTCCCCCTCTTTCCCCTCCTCCCCTCCCCCCTTCCCCCAGCCTTCTCCCCTCTCGCTCTTCCATCTCCCCCCTTTTCCCCCCCTTCCCCCCTCTCTCCCCTCCTTTCCCTTCCTTTCCTCCCTCTCTCCCTCTCTCTTCTCTCTCTCTCTTCCTTCTCCTCTCTCTCTCCCCTCTTCTCCTCCCCCCTCTCTCTCTTTTCTCTTGCTCTTCTTTTCCCCCTTTTTTCCCCTTCTAACTCTCCCCCTTCCCCTACCCTTCCCTTCACTTCCCCCCCCCTCTCTCTCTCACTTTCCCCCCCCCTCCCTCTCTCCCTCTCTCCCCCTTTTCCCTCTCCCTCCCCCCTCTCTTCCTTGCTCTTTCCCCTTTTTCCCCCTTTCAAACCCCCTCTCCTACCCTTCCCTCACTCTCTCCCCCCTCTCTCTCTCACTCCACTCTTTTCCCCTTTTTTCCCTTCTCACTATCCCCTCTCTCTACCTTCCCTTCTTCTTCTCTCTTCTCTCCCCTTTCCCTTCTCATTTCCCCCTTCTTCCCCTTTCCCTTTCCCTTCTCTCTTCTCTAAAAAAAAAAAAAAAAAAAAAAAAAAAAAAAAAATGGTGGGACTCCAGGAACCAAGGACAATGAAAATTTGTTCTGGTAGGGGGGGAGTGGATGGAGGAGCAGTGGAAAAGGAGGAAAAAGAGTGGGAGAAAAAATTAGGAGAGCTTTCTAAAAAAATGGGGGAAAAGGCTCTCTGTGAATTTGGGAAAAAGAGGTTGGAGAAGGGCAAGTTGGGAGGGCCGGTAAACTGAGTACCCAAGATAAGGGCCTAGAAGTTGAGAAAAATAGGTGAAGCGAGTTACAGGGGCATGCCCAGAGAAGCCAGCATATGAAGTGCGGGGGCCGAACGGAAAGGGAAAGGGAAATTTATAATTATGCTAAGGTTATCACCTGCCGGGGAGGACCAAGAGTAAAAGGGAAAACAGCGGTTCGATGGGAGGGTGATGGTCAAATGCTGGGGGCAAAACCCAGGCATCAAGGCCACTGGAAAAATAAGGGGGGAAAACTTACCACATGGGCAGGATCCAGATCACAGAGGGTGGGGTAATGGGAGGAAGAAAGGGCGAAATCATGTTTTCCAGGGGCTTCGGGAAAAGAGAGGGAAAACCACCTGAAAGGCACGGGGAAGAATGAAAGGAGATTGGAAAATCATCACGGAAATAGGTAAAGAGGGGACGAGATTGTAAATTTTCGGGAAATGGGGAGGGTACTCAAAGGGGGGAGAAACTACCAATCAAGCTGATTCCAGGATGGAACAGTGCGGAACAGGATCGTCCCAAAAGAAACCACGATTTAAATACCGGAAGGTACAAGAGGTGTTCCTAGACAGAGACAGAACGAAATCAGAAAGACACAGAGGGAGAGGGCAAAAAAAAGAAAGGAGCTAGGAAAAGAACAAGGATGGAACCAGCAGGGTCAGTCAGAGCAGAACAGAAAGCAAGGGGAAGCACACCACAACTATTCTCAGAAAACCCTACAATTCACACCATTCCAACACACACTACAATCCTACCACGCCCACCCAACACCGACTTAGAATCCCAAGTAGCCACCCGGTCTCCCCCCCTCACAGGCCCCCAAACCACAGTGTTGGAAAGGAAACTGAGGTTGGGACACAAACGCTGATGGAATAGCAAATAAGTGGGAGGAGTGGGTGAAAAGCAAGAAGCTCACCCGGGCCCTAGCTCTCACAGAAAAACCAAACTTACAGGATGATAACAGATGCCATTTTCCAACGGGGATACCAAATCCTGAGGAAAGACAGAGGGGAACACGGGGGGGGGAGGAGTGGCGTTGTGATCAAAAATCGTGGAAAATTTTTTTTTTGAACTGGGGGAGAGGGGAAAAGGGAGAAGAAAAAATGATTACAAACGGGAACACTTTATCTGGGGTCCCAAGGTGGTAATAGCAGTGATGTTTAACCCACCACGAACGCAGGAGGCCAAGGCAAGAGACGACGAGGAATAGAGCGATGGTTGATACATGGTAGAGTGGCCCGAAGAGCTCATTTCTTCAGGGCAAAAACTCCCATATGGGTACTTTAACCACAAGGAGATGTTGGGGGAAAATTGGACCCCCAGGGGGCCCCAAAATACTGGGGGGCTAAGGAGGGATTGGGACTGGAAAACTTTATGTGCCAACACGTAAGAGACACTACAAACAGGAGGGGAGGGTTTAAC